GTGAGCAGCCCTTAGATGTTTCTTTGTGAGGCTACAGACTGCATGGTTATCTGAAAGGACCCAGCCTGCAAGGCGGACTACGGGGTTGCAGCAGAGCTTCGGGGGAGCATTGCTGCTGGCGCACAAGGGACCTTGCTAGAGAAAGGACTTGCAATTAGTATAAGAGATAGTAAGAACTGCCAATGCTGGAGTCAGAGATAACACAGTGTGGAGCTGGAGGAACACAGCAGGCCAGGCAGCAAGAGAGGAGCAGGAAAGCTGACCTTTCAGGTCAGGACCCTTATTCAGAAATTTCTGACCCGAACTTTCCTGCTCTTCTGATGCTGCCTGGCCTGCTGTGTTCCTCCAGCACCATATTGCAGTTAGATGGCACCTTTCACAACCTTGGGACGCCCCAACACAGCCAACAAAGTGTCGCAAAATCACAAATTCTCCGATCTGCGTCAAAAAAAAGTGACCACAAAAATCAACATCTGCGTGTAGCTACGATTTTTAACTTATTTTTAACTGACATTTTAATGAGCTCCACACTTGCAAATTTCATTGTTAAGGGGGTTCTCAGAAAAAGATACTGAGGAATATATTTTTTTTTGACGTGCAGTAATTCTTTTAACACGGGCAAGTTTACATGCAGCAATGTGAGAATGGAGAGCAAACTCCTCAGTACAAAGAGATTTGGATGGCCTGGTACATAAATGACAAACTTAGAATGCAGGCACAGCAAGTGATTAGGGAGGCAAATGGAATTGAATAAAAATGTTGTAACATTTCGCTGCAGTAACAAAAGGCTTTGGCGAGATCACCGTTATCAGACTCGGAATGTTATCTCGGTTTCTCTCTCCACAGATGTTGCGGAGTTTCTCCAGCAATTGGTGTTTTGTTAAATTTCTGGAGCGCTGTGTACAGTTTTGGTCTCCTTATTTAAGAAAGGATGTAAACGAATTAGTTCAGAGAATGGTTTATTCCTGGGATCACATCTTGAGAAATAGGAATGATATTATCAAACTGGAGAGGGTTCAGAAGGGATTTACCAGGATGTTGCTGGGACTGGAGGGTTGGCGATTTAAAATTAGACTGGAAAAGCTGGGACTTTTTCCACTGGAGTGTAGGAGGTTGAGGGATGACCTTATAGAGGTTTATGAAATCATAAGGGGTATAGATAAAGTGAATGACAAGTGCCTTTTCCCTAAGGTGAGGGAGTTCAAAACTAGGGGACATATTTTTAAGTTGAGGGGAGAAACATTTAAAAAGGATGCGAGGGGCAACTTTTTTACACAGAGGGAGGTTCGTATGTGGAATGAACTGCCAGTGGAAGTGATCGATGCATTTAAAAGACATTTGGATAAGCACTTGAGAAGGAAAGGTTTGGAGGGATATGGGCCAAAAGCAGGCAGGTGGGACTGGTTTAGTTTGGGATTATGGTTGGAATGGACTAGTTGGCCTGAAGAGTCTGTTTCCATGCTGTATGGCTCTATGGCTCTTAAGTTGGGCCCATGTCCATTGGAGTTTTGAAGAATGAGAGGTAATTTGATTGAAGCTCACAAGATCTCAAGGAGTCTTGATTGGCTGGATGCTGAGAGGTTGCTTCCCCTTGTGGGAGAGACTAGAACTATGGCACGCTGTTTAAAAATAAGAAGTCTCCCACTTAAGGTGGAGATGAGGAGCATTTATATCTTCTCTCAGATGATCGTTGGTCTGTAGAATTCTCTTGCCCAGAGTGTGGTACAAGCTGGGTGAGAAAAGGAAGGAGATCCTGTTTTCCAGGCCCCACTGTATTGTGGGAAATTGTGTACCGCTTGGCCGAAAATCTGCAGGTTCAGAATTGGCCCGCTCTGTTCCACAAAGCCCCACGGCAGAAACTGGCAGCACTGAGCAGATGAAGAACAGGCCGCTGATTCTTATGAGAATGACCAGCTAATTTTATTCTTAATGACCTTTATCGAGGGACAAATATTGGCCAAAAACTCCAGAAGAAATCCCGGACCCCCCACCACTGTTCTTTTGAAATCCACTTGGGAGTTTCGATGGAGCCTCATCCGAAAGGTACCACCTCGAACAGCGTAATCCTCCCTTCAGTATTCCACTGGAGAGTCAGTGCAGATACCAGCACAACTCACGAGGTTGGGTCTCGGACTTACTGCCTTCTGACTCAGCCATTACAATCGATCCACAGACAGAGCATTAGGTAAAGCAGCCATACTCCCAGAGAACCATGGGCGAGCTCTCTCCTTAGACAGAGATGACTGGGGCTGGTTTAACCTGAGGGTCACCATGCCTCAGGTGAGGGGGGAGGTTGAGGAGCAGGATCCTTCATGGTAACCTCAGCCAGTGTGGGGATTGAACACACATTGTTGGCGTCATTCTGCATCACAAACCAGCCGTCCGGCCAAACAGAGCAGACTGACCCTTGAGTTACGGTGTTATCGCTATTCAGAAACCATTTTAAGGTTACATGAGAAAGTGTGCGTGTGTGAGTGTGTGTATGACTTTGTGAAAGTGTGTATGTGAGAGTGAGTATGTGTGTGCGTGCGTGTGTGAGTGAGTGAGTATGTGTGTGCGTGCATGTGTGAGTGAGTGA